GCTGCTCCTGTCAAGTTCTTTGAAAGTCATTTAAAGATGGAGTCCGAAACTTTGATTTTATTTTATTTATTTTTTTTTTTATTGGAGCTGGAGATGCTTTACCGTCGGCTACTGATGAGATTGGGTTGTTTTTTAACATTTGTGTCATTAGCTATTCGCCTCAGTTTAAACGCAACACTTATATTTAAGAGTGTACTCTTCAGCCGCTGTTTGCTCCTCTGCTGACACCGCCATGTTCTCGAATCCTTGCCGGCACGCAATAAACCTCGGGATATTTTGGCTGGCGAAGGATGCGCCTGTTGGATCCTTTGGAAAAGAACACATTTCCCAGTGCATATGAAGGAGCCTTTGAAATGGGACGGCCTAGTCGCGCCACTGTGACGCAAACGGCCTTCGAATACAGCCTCTGAAGGACGCATCCTCTGAATTGGGACACAGTGATGGTTTAGGGATGGTTTAAGGAACATGACAGAGTTGAAGGTATTGCCTTGGCTGTTGAACAAACCCTTATTCCTCAGATCTCAATCTTGCTACACATAAACAGTGTTAAAATTTAATATCACAACTGTAGTGCCCAAAATTATCACGGTTAATCAGCATTGTTGCAGTGCTGTTAAGATGTGCTCAAAATGTTAAAAACTGAAATCACTTAGCCAATACCTTAACATAGAATAAACAGATTCAAGTGTGCAATAAAACTGAAACTGGCACCATGTAGCCATGAGAGGTTCGAACACGAAAGCATTCAAACATTTTATTGTGTTTTTAAATGTTAATTCAGCACAAACTCAGCTTAATATTACTGCTTCCCCACTGATAAGCTAATTTAAGCTATCAAAATATCTTAGTTATCCTTTTAATGCTGGTAACATTTTCTGATAAGGACATTTAGAGTATCAGCCTCGCAGATTTAATACAAGGGCTAAAATCAGCTTCCTATTCGTCAGCTTCTTGTTCAAGTTTTCCTGTTCCACCTTAGATGATGCAGAAATTACATTCTGGTTGCTGAAACATTATGACAGCAAGAACTTATAATAATGAAAACAGGAAAATTTGAATAAGAAGTCGACTTCAGCTTCATAGTTTTAATGCTGGTAGGCTTTTTTGATTAAAGGTAATTCAAGCTATCAAAACATCATGTGAATCATAAGATTTGAAGAGTTACCACCTTCTGCAGCGATTTTTTTTCTGCATGTTCTGAAGACAGGGTGACCATCTTTCATTGAGTTTCCCTTTGCACTGAATCGTATTTAATGCAGGTTTTTCAAAGTGTGGTAACCAACCACAGCTTTAATGATAATTAAAATGTGAAACAGTAATACTAACCATCTGGAATTTTACTGTGGTATACAGGGAATCCAGTAACTGTTTCATCACTAAATCCTACCAAGCATCTGTGGGATGTGCTGGAACACAAGCCCAATCTGCGGCGGATCTACCTTGCAACTTTTAGAGCTTAAAAGAATCTGCTTCTAACGTTCTGGTGCCAGATACCACAGAATGCCTTCAGATTTCTTGTAGGGTCTGTGCCTCAGAGCTGTTTTGCTATTTACTATGATTCATTTACATACAAAATGCTGTTTAAAAACATAAATCCATGTCTCAGTTTATATTCTTATGCTTAGGGTTAGGGGAAATTCCACTGATTTTTCATAATCCCTGCATAATTCAATTGAATTGTTGAGTTGTAAACAAAACCAGTTAGAGTGGTTTAATGGTTCAGGATACTAAAAAGAATAAAAGGCATAACTTTTGAACAGGCCATATTTTAGGTTTTATTTTTCTTCCAATAATTTAAATTCAGCTAATAGCCAGTAACCACACATTAAAATTTGCAGAAGTGTGTCTTCTGTAGAGGATGTGTTACTTATTTTTGCATATGACTGTGTCAGAGCGCCAGACTGGGTGTCACCACTCAGATGCAAAAGACGATATTAGTTGAAGTAACGTAGAGTTAAAGTGAGTGTTTCAACCAAATTTGCACTTTATCTCTGTTCACTGGCTCTCTATTTGTTAGTCACTGTCCTTAGTGATTACTTTTAGAATTAGCTAGTCAATAATTATTAATGTCACAAGTTTGACAGTAGTGCATGAAACGAGCTGCAGAACAAATGGCAAAGATATTTTTGCACTGTAGTAAACACATTTTTTCTTTAAAATAATTCCAATAATTAAAACAAAGTAATCAGTTGAATAACTGTTTAGAGAAACAGTTGTTTTTGTAATTGTATGCACGACGTACTAATGTGAAATAATAATTTTAACATTTAATTCATCCAGATTTCCCTTTTTTATACTTCCCAATCCTGGTTCCAGAGTACCTGTGCACTTTTTCCCCAACACAACTTCAACATCAGCAGATATTTACATATAAAAATGTCAGATATCAGCATCAGCCTACAAATTTCATATCGGTGCATCCCTAAAGTATAATAGCCAGACTGTTGCATTCATTACTATAGCATGTTTTAGACAGTACAGTGTGGCATGTGCTTTTTGGATGCAGCCAGGAGTCCAGGTTTATCCATTATTAATGATGGACCCTAAATCAGTCACGGGGACAGTCATTGGCTGGAGGTTAGGAAACCAGCCTTGTGACTGGAAGGTCGCTGGTTCGATCCCCTGGGCCGACAGTATGTGACTGAAGTGCCCTTGAGCAAGGCACCTAACCCCCAACTGCTCCCCGGGCACCGTGGAAAGGGCTGCCCACCGCTCCGGGCAGGTGTGCTCACTGCTCTATTATTATCATTATTATTATTATTATTGTTGTTGTTGTTGTTGTTATTAATAATAATAATAATAGCAACTTTTGAAATGTAGCCTTTTCCATTCATTCCAAGTGTTATTTGTCTGTAAATGCAAGTACACTTTCAGCAATAAAGGTTCCGTAATATCAAAAGAGGTTCTAAAGCTCATAATAACAGTAGAACATTCTTTCAAGAACCACATACAATGGGCTTTCCATCGTTGAGAAGAACCACTGAACCATGCAAAGAACGATTCGTGCACTAAAGTGGTTCATCGTGCCAGTTCTATATACAACCACTGCCTTTACGAAAGAAAGATAGTGTAGTAAATAGTGAAAGATAGTGTAGTATTCAATCATGGCTTTGAGATATTGTATACATACATATAAAACACAATAAAAATGCCCAATATCAACTTCAACTATTCACTCCAAGTGCCTTCAAGGTTTCTCAATGCCAGGTGACGTCATCCAGTGTACTGCACATTACCTGTCTAAAAAGACTTTTAAACAAAGTGTATGCATAGATTTACGTGTTTAATCCCAACTTGAGGTGACAACAGCAGAATCGCTTAAAACTATCAGCCAGCGAATAACAAACGTGTAGGTCAGGAGCCAGGTCCAGCACTCAGGATGTTTTCTGCTTCCTTTTTTCCACTATTATGTCCTGTTAGCCTATATCTTCTGCCATACCACCAAGCTGATAATGGCCCCCTGTTGGGGTTGCTCATTTGCTCTTTGGCCGGCTCAAATAAATGAAGATCTGTAAACCCCTAGATCTTATTTTCTCACTTCCCCCTTTGTTTCAGAATACTTCCTGCCAAATTTCATGCTTCTGTGACTATGACATTTTCGTGACTTGCCATTTGAAACTTTTGCATACAATGATGCAAACAGTTTGTTTACACCTGCAATGCTCAAGTCTACCACTGAGTAAGGACACTAAGTCATGAAATAACCAAAGTCATGAAAATTTTACTTGTAGCATATGCCTAGGTATATATTAGACCTGGGCAATATGACAATATTTGTCGTTATCATAATAAATTACACTTCAATGTGCTTTTGTGAGCACACTTTGAATATCATCAGTACTTAAAAACACTTTCAAGCTGCATGTTTGATTATAAAAAGTGCATAATTACTCCTGTTTAAAGGGATTTAGTGTAGGACAGTATGAAATGTAGTTTTTGATCATTTTTGATAACATTTTTTAATGTTGCCCTACTTTTGTCTGTTCCAGCTTATCAGAAAAAATAAATAAATATTGCGACATTACATTTTTGTCATTTAGCCCAGCTCTAGTATATATAAAGGCTGGTATCTGCATTTTCCAATTTGAGGTACAGTGGGAGACTTTTATACATAGTAAGCATCTTTTTCAAGAAATACAGGTCATCTCGGGCTAAAATTGAAGCATAGGAATTTGCAAAGTCTTCTAGATGCAAATGATTTTTTTCAAAACTCATTATGAAGAGCTAATAAATATTCATTTTTGATGATAATTTGTCAAGCAAACAGTGATTTTGCCTTTTGGGGGATGTTATACATAATATTTTGAAAATGAATCTCAGTAAACTCCTGGATCTTATCTGCCAACCTTCCCCTTTGTTTCAGACACATGCTGTCAAATGTCATGCCTCTATGACCATTTAGTGCCTCAACATTTCAATGTAATACATAAGCTGCGTCCAAGACCACATACAACTACACCACACCTCCTACACTAATGAATGGACTTGTATTGGCGGTATAGTATTTTGACAGACTGTTTAGTGTGGCAGTTTGCGGTTCTGGACGCAGCCATAATTTTTTCTCGTCAAAAAAAGGGGGTTTCAGCTCCCCCAGAGCAAACGGCCTCGCGTTGGGGTTACTCATTATAAACTTGAAAGGGCCCAAGATTTGGCTAACAAGAAAAAATAGTGAGAAAAGGCAGGTTATGTTAGAAGAAAACATCCTGAGTGCTGGACCTGGCTCCCGGCCCAGTGGTGCAGGCCTCTGCTTTCCAGTACAGACCCTTGTTCGTGTCACAGTGGAGAAAAATACTCAATAACCAATGCATGTTATATTTCTCCTCAACCAAAGCTCGTTTTATGAGCTCAAATGACAGCCACAAATCTGAGCTCCGTCGCTCCTCGCTGCCCTGCCTAGGAACCCCGAGAGGCAGGCGGTTAGCTCGGTTAGCTTACCGCGGCTAAGCATTCGCCCAGCCGAAAACAACAGGCTAATAAACGAGCAAGTGAACGACGCTTACCTGGACCATCACCACAGTCTCCAGACCGCGGACTTATCGAGCCAGGCTGCTCCAACAGCTGCTAATTCCAGCTTAGCGCCGCACATTGTCAGCGGGAGGCGAAGTAGCAGATAGCACAACCACACCGCCTGCTACCTCGTCCTTCCTCGCTGTGCTGTGGGTGGGTAAGCAGCAGCAGCAGCAGCAGCAGAATCTTTAGCGGGTTTTCTCTCTGGGGTGTCTGTGTCTTCAAAATAAAAGCACTCGGACTGAACCCGCTTAGGAGAAAGTAAGGTTAAAGGGGCACTCCAGCCAAAAAGAAAGGAAAAAAATCCACTGCTACATGTGTTGTAAACATCCTTAGTCCGTGCCAGAATAGCCCTGGAAGTCTAAAGACTGAGCGCGCTCCGTTTACCTATGACAGCGGCAAGGGAGGAGAAACCTGTTTAAAGGGAGGGTCAGCGGCACTCATACCTGCTCTTACGTGATTTACTACGTAGATGACAGACAACGAAAATATTCATTAGAGGCTGCTTTGCCATGGTTTCCCACATCGCATTTATTATGACACCAGCAGACAGAAAGACCCAACGTGATGCGAGAAACAGCTCAACGACACGCCCACTTTTTAAAAAAATAAATAAATAAAATGATGGCTCATTTCACATGGGAGGTCACCACCAGGGACAGGCCTCTCGCTGACGGTGACAAAAAATAAATAAATAAATAAATAAAATAATAATAAAACCACAATAATGCCCCTCCCTGACACAGACCAACACAACAAACACTTAGAAACAACTAGATTTGCTACAACAGCCAACATTTAACAACATAAGTTATTTGAAGGAAGACACGCGCCTACCATGAGCCTTTGCGTGTGTCAATTTGCATAGCCACACCCCCAGAGTCTCTTAGCGCCGATCAGTAGCGGGTTGCCGCAATATAATGCAACTTCACTGACTGAGCATGCGCAGATACCCGCTAAGAAATCCACCTTCTGATGATGTAACCTGAAGGTGGGAAAAACTACAAGCACTTTAGAGCAGCATTGTGAGGGCAGGCTGGGATTTTTTTCTTTAGCTAGCTGGCTAATGCAGAAGAAACCAGGTAACGTCTAGGTAGCTATTATGTTTGTATTTATTAGCCTCTACCATACACCAGAGCCGGTTTAAGAGGACTCTGTCCACTTCCTGTTTCTCCCGTTATATCAAAAACAGGACTGCAAAACAGCAGATGGCACCCACAAGTGAGTCCTCAATGAATGGGAGTAAATGGAGCTCAACAGCTAAAGATGAAAAGTTAAAATAGTTTCTAATCACTTACTCAGAACTTTCCTTTAATTTTAGAAAGTAGAAGGATGTATTTCATTAAAAAAACAAAGAAAACTCACCTGTATGTTTCCTTTTTTCTACAGCAAATGGGTTTTGGGCAGCAGAACGCTGGCATTACTGCTACTGAGTGCTGAGTTGTGTCAAACAGATGAGGCTGAGGGATCAAGTTCTGCACTTAAGGATATAACATAACATGACAAATTACATATTAAATGGTAGTTTTAGTCCAGAATGCCCCTTTAATGAGAAACTGCATCACAAGAGAATACTTGTAGACTGCAAATAGGTCCATATTTAATTACCACTACAAGTATAACAAAAGCTTCTGGCAGCACAAAACCACAAAAAAGGAAGCCCTAAAACATAAGTTTAATATGTTATTAGTTATGTTATGCTGTATTCTGAGAGGGCAGAATGGTGGCGCAGTGAGTAGCGCTGGGCCTGGGTTCAGTTTGCATGCTCTCTCCATGTCTGTGTGGGTTTCCTCCGATTTCCTCAGTCCAAAGACAGACATCCTGTAATGGACTGGCAACCTGTCCAGGATGTATTCTGCCTTACGCACAAAGGTCGCTGGGGTAGACTCCAGCGCCCCCCAATGTGAATGCGAGTACAATGTACAAAGTTCCATTTTTTATATTGTTTTCAGAGAAGAGGTAATCCCCTCTCTCTCTTTTAATGTGTCATAACCTGTTTTGCCCATCATTCATTCAAAGATGTATCACTTTTTGTTTAAGGAAAAAGGTTCACTTGAAAGCCTCTGCTGGAATTTTCTGGAAACTTTCTGCATAGACCTGGTACTTTTCCAAGGCACTTGTCTGAATGCTTGGTACTTCTTACAAAGTTGTGGGTGCTTTACATACAAAATGTTTAATCTTGTCCTATGGATACCTCTTATGGGAAAGAGAAATTTTTACTTAATTCCATTACTTCCTTGCAGTATCATCAGCTATCTACCTTCCTTCTGCAGTCACCAACTAAAGAAACAACATCAACATTTCTACATTCTGAAGGATTTAACGTGTCACTGCATGTACATGCACTCATGGATGCACCAAGTTTTTGTCCTTAGAACATTTTATTAATTTTTAAAGTGGTGTTTCAGCCAAACAAATGAATTTACACAAATGTTGTTGAGAAGCTAAGACATGTTTGGTGGCCCAGTGCTACTGAATCAGAGCGAGAACAGCAGGGAAGGTCACCAATAGCCATACAACTTCACCTCATGCTATACTCTGGCTATCTGGGATGACTCTGTATGACATATTATTATTCTATCTAAAAACAGATACCCTATCTAAAAAATACTGGATGTTGCATGGTTAAAAACGTTAATCTTGGCTATATTCAAGCCTGAATTGTATCTGTATGTTTATCCATTGAGTGTCTGAAAATACCCTGAGATGGACTGGCGACCTGTCCAGGGTGTATCTTGCCTTCCGCCCAATGACCGATGGGATAGGATCCAGCACCTCCCCACGACCCAGAAGGATAAGCGGCTTCAGAAAATGTGTGTGTGTAAAAATAAAGTCTGTATACTAGATTAGTGAAAACGTGATGCAGTTTCAGGCAAGTGTTTTATGATTGATCCATGTCACTAACTTCCACTACTTGTTATTTCATAGCTCTACAGAAAAACAAAATAAATTAACTGTAAACACCAAACCTTGCTGTTTGACCAAATTTGGGGTAAGAAGGAAATTGTGTCAGTTGGGTTTTTGGCTAAGCCATAATTTTAAGGATCCCCTAGAGAACCCTTAACCCTCCTGTTGTGTCCCGGTCAAATCTGACCGATAAAGTTTCCTCTTTAAAAAGTGTAGTAAATTTCATCTGTTTGTCATGAGGTTTCATGACTTTGTTCACACATGGTATTTGAACACCTAAAATAAATCTGAAATATTTTTATAAAAATGTGTGTGTTTTATGGAACTTGTATACACCCATGGTGTTCCCGGTCAAAATGACCGGTTATTGGAAATGAATCTATAAGACTACAATTACTGTATAAAACAGAGTTCAAGCACATATCAAGCAATCCACAGCAACCAGAGAAAGAGGGGTCAAAAGAAAGAGGTGCCAACTGTGTGCACCAAGAGATAAAACACTAGCTTTGTGTGCCACAGATTCGGTGTATATATATGCAAAGAACATGCAACGACCACAGTATATTGCCCCACATGCTCATGAGAGGACAGAACTGAGGAACATAAGGATAACATTATGGCACTGTCTTTTCAGAGTACAATAGAAAATTGTAAATATGTTCATACAGTGTATGGTTCAAGCACTTCTCTTAAATTTTCCCTGTGTACATTTGGGCTTTTGTTTTCAATAAATAAATCATACCGGTCAGTTTTGACTGGGAACACAAAAGTTGTTAATTTGTGCCACAGTTTAGAAAACTGAACTGGTTTCAAAAAAGTGACTTTGGTAAACATTTCAGTGAAGCACTCTGTGACAAACACTACAATAGGTTTCATCTTAGTATTCGTTATAGTCAAAATAATATGTATATCGTTTTTTTTTTCCCTAAAAAAATGAGTAAATGAGGCCTGCAGGACATAAACAGCAAAGACAAGTTCAAAATTTATAATGTTCACAAGAGATGAAATCCATAAAAAGATCTAACACAACATGTGGTGATAATATATGAATTATTGTTGATTTATAATGGAATAAAATGATGAGTGTTAGCCGAAACGAACACAACAGGAGGGTTAACTCAGTAAGCGTAAAGTGGGCTTCCAATTTTGCCAAGTGCACAAGTGAGGCAGTTGACATGAATCACCTGCCAGCAGCTGTCACCACAGTGTGTCAAGAGGGATTTGCTGGTGGCGGCCCCCAATGCTCCGCCTCCCCACAATACTGAACACCTGTTTCTAATTGTCTTAATTATTAGCTGTACATATACAGGGGTTATACTGGGCTATAGGAGGTGGGGGAGCCATGCTTCCTTCATGGGTGCCAACAATGTGGGAACAATTTCATTTAATTTATGTGCTTTAAGGTGTCTTTAGCACTGACATCCTGGAAATGTGATGAAAACTATTTTTTGGTATATTTAGAGTGTACTGCAAAATTCAGAGGCCACCCATTTATTTAGTTCAAAATGAAGTGTTATTCATTTTTCAAAAGTTCTGAGAGGATTAGATATAAGATAATCCACTTAGGTAAAGAAAACCAGGAAGAAACAGGAGTTTCCAAAACTGACGTTGTTAAAAGAGATCAGGACAAAAATGGGACTTCTAACAACTACACAAGACCTGGTAGACCACCAAAATCACTAACATGTAATCAGCTTTCATCTTTGAGAAGCTCAACTCGCGTTTCACATCTGAAAAAACCCACAGGTGCTTCTGTCCATCCTTCCACTGTGAGAATGGACTACATGCAAGTGGATGTATAGCTGTCAAGAAGTCAATAGACAAAAAAGAAAAAGGAAAAGCTGCTGGTCACCCCAGACCTCAACATCACTGAATGTGTTTGGGATTATTTGGATTGTGAGAAGCAGAAAATGCAACCAACTTCTAAGACTGAACTTTGGAGGTGTGGAAAAATGGTTTCTGCAGATTTCTTTAAAAAACTGAAAACCAGTCCCCCCAAAAGAATGGAAGATGCAAAAAGTGACCACACAAAAATGTAATATTCATTTGTTGAGGCTTCCGTGTAATTTTCTGCTTTTTTTCCTATGTTGATGTTGCCATCCGTGTCCTTGGCCTGCTCAGCATTTTTACATGCCATAAAATATGGCTGTTGACTCATTTATTCAGGTTTTTTCTTTAGTTTGTCACTTGTCTGCATGTTTACTTCTTAGTGTGATCTTTGTGATCTAGTGTGATTCTAGTATAGGTGTAAATCTCGACCTTGCAAAGATTTTATTAGATTTTTTAGGAAACTATTTAATCATGAAACCTCAACTCTAACCAGACTTTGAGTTGAATTTTACTCTAATTGATAGTATTCGATTATAACCAGATGTGGACCTATTTTGTGAGTCCAGATCTGGTAATACAGCACTGCTGTGTCTGATCCACTTGTACCAGCACAACACACACTAACACACCACCACCACATCAGTGTTACTGCAGTGCTGAGAATGATCCACCACACAAATAGTACCTGCTCTCTGAGGGTCCATGGGGGTCCTGAACACTGAGTAAAAGGGGGCTAACCAAGTATGCAGAGAAACAGATGGACTACAGTCTGTAACTGTACAAATACAAAGTGCACCTATACAGTAAGTGATGCTGCTAAAATGGACAATGAGCGTAGAAACAAGGAGGTGGTCATAATGTTATGTCTGATCGGTGTATTATTTACTATCTAAAATGGCCAGTGAACCTGTACCTAACTGAGTTTTTATATGCAATGCAGATAATGACAAAATAATAGTAAAACTGAAAAAAATATTTTTTAGGGGGATGTTTTGTTTAATGGAGGTACAATGGAGCTACACAGGAGCTACAAGCCTAACGTTGCTAAGAAACACCACCAAGCCCATTCAGACCCAAATACCTTCCATAAATACATCAGCAAAAATGCTTTGCAACCAGGTCTTAAGGTTACAAAGACTTGTTGATGTAGTTAGGACACAATGTCCCATATGGAAACAAATATGGACATATATTTTTGCATAATTGAAATACATGTAAAATGCATTGCAATCCATGCCAAAATACATCTCAAACACTAAAATGAATTTCAGAGTATATTGCCATATTAAACAAATATATTTTAAAGTACATTTATTGTAAAATGTATGGGGAAGTATTACACCTAAAAATGTACCATACAAAAAATAAATGTATGCAAATGTATTTATTAAATACATTTGAAAATGTATGAAAATAGCCAAAACACTTGGCTAAAGCACTGCATGGAATATCTTTTGAAGTGAATTCATCCAATAATAATAATAATTAATAATAATTAATAGCCAATGAACCTTTAACATGGCAAAAGCAAGTGTTGTAGATATTGATACTCTATGAAAATGCAGCCCTACAATTTGATATCCAGCTTATTTGAAATACATTTATACATACATCTTGCTGCGTATGTATAATGATTAATGCAAAGTATATATATCGCTGCTGTCGGAAGAAAACCTCGTATCTCCGTTTTTGTCGTTTTTGCGTAACTTTCATGATAAATGGACTAAAAGAAACGTCCAAAATGACTGGTTCCATTGACTTACATTAAAAGTGAAGTAGGTTTTTTCCTTCTCCTGTAAAGCTACCATTTTACCATACATACACCCACCCCCCCACCCACCCACCCACCCCCCCCCACCACACACACACACACATATATTACAGTAAGTCACACAGTATCTTAAAGAGCTGGATACAGTGTGAGTAGGTTGAAAGGTTTTGGCGTGACTATTAACTTCTAGTGTTTGTTAGCGATGTTGGACACTAAACATATCTGTTGAACTGCATCTGGGATAAATGGAACATTGTGTAAAACTGATTTCTCCCCAATCTATTCATCATTTCAGACACTGTCATGGCACATTTCTAACGGGAATACCTTTCAAGCTGTTTTATGTTCTTTTCCAACCTCAAGGGAGCCCCAGGCGACTCCCTGAACCATGGTAACCATGGACACGCTGTATCTGAGCTGTGTTTTTTGTCACGAAACAAAGACAAACTAAATGCTTGTTGGACCCCCGGGTGGCTTGACATCCCCAAGTGACTGTTTATCCCAGTGATTATGTACGCTTAAACTACTCATAACCCTAATCATTAGAACAAAACTGTTCCGTATTTGGGTTGATCCTGGAAAAAAAGCCAATATGCAAAAAGTAAATAAATAAATAAATGAAAAAAGTCCAATATCTTGGCATTTCTAACAATCATACTACTCTTAAACACTGTGACTGTTTCGTTTATTTATTTTACCCCCCTTAAGTGCAAAAATGTATTCTTTTATTTTATTGCACCTTCAAATGCAATAATTGTTCTGTGCAATGCCTCCAATGTTGCTATTAATACCAGACACTTTATTCTTTTATTATATTTTCTATTTTCTATCTTAGAGTCATCCACAGGCTTGCTCCAAACAACATTACATTGTATACTGTTATTTGTACAGTGGCAAATATATGTAAGTTCACTATAAGAGGCTCACAATGTTAGTTTTTGATACTTGGTTACCTTTTATAACATACTTTGAGGGTTTACAACCATCTGATTGAAGAAACCCCTGACTTATAATCCATCATACAATTTCTATGCAATACTTAACACTAGCTACTGCCCTGGCATCAGGTCTATAGTTTGAGGGTTGAAGCTGGACTGCCTCAGGCCCCTCTGGGGTAACTATAAAATAAAATAAAAAAATTGCCTGAGCTAGAAATGGTGTATTAATGTTACTGTAATTATGCTAGTTACCATTTTGACAAAGTTTTCTTCCGACAACAGAGATATATATATGGTTATATGTATATGGGTATATATATTTAATTGTATATATTTTTTTAAGTTAGTCTGTATGTTCTGCCAATTCTATTTTCTATTCATTTAGGTTTTTAGTTTAGTTGTTTGTTATTTGTATGTATGTTTATTAACACTTTAATAATATTGTTTTAAATGGAGTAGAGAGACATGGATGGGTCTTTAGGGTAAAGGGAAAAGATAATGCAGGAAAAAAAAGAGTCGTGTTTTATTAGTTTACATTGTACTGTGTTATCATCATCGTGTTGTCATATATATATATATATAAATTTGGCAAAATAAACAATACTCATGTAAATAAAAGGATCAGAAGTGTGTTCTCTATAAAGACTGTTAACTTACTGTCACTTGAAAAAAATCAATAAAGCTTGTCATATGACTGGGGTGCCCAAACCTTCGCATACAACTGTACCTGCTAGACCAATGTGAGGCACATGTGTAAGGCAGTTATCTGAAAAACCCAGTCTAAAGCTAAATAACAAGTAGGTCTAGTTCTAGTTTGTTTATTAACTTAAACGCATTAAGTTCAAAGCAATGTATCAGAGTACACATAGCATAAGGCTGAGCGCTTACTACTATCTCATTAAAAAGTCGAAAAGAAAAGCATTTTCAAAAAGAATTAGTGGAGGATTCGTTTCTGGAAAACTAGCTGGCTTCTGAGCACAACAATGTTTAAACTATATATAAATGCAGAGTGAAACACTGCATCTCTCAGCACGACATGCTCTCGCCTTCAAGTGTTGCAATAAGGGGAAGATGTCTGTACCCTTTCTGGCAGTTGTGACCTACTCAACTGCAACTTCCTCTGGTCTATAAATGTTTGAACCTTGTATGACTTTTCTTATCTTTCTCTGTCAATCATGAATGCCTTCTTTAACCACTCACCTATAAAAAGGCTATTCAGACCTACATTAAACTGAGTGCATCTCTGAACGCTGATGCTTCTGCGGCCATTTGTTCCGATACACTCCCCGCAGGTTCAGTTAGGTGACGGTGGGATCATAAAGGAACAGGAGGAAAATCCCTAACAAGTGCATTTTTTCATGTAGGTATTTCCTCAGTTACTGAGCCACTTGCAGCATCTACTAAGCATGCATTTAAATATTTTAATACTTAATAAAACTGAAGACAAAGAAAGGAAGAATACTACAGTATTTATTGATACAATATGTATAAAGCAAGAAATACTTCAAACCATGTTTCCATTAAAACTGTGTCCGATATAGACAATGCACCAAAATGAAAAAAAACTTTATTCACAATGTAGATACTTTTTTTTTTATTTGAAAACAAATTATTTTCAAATGACTATAAATTATTTTCTAATTATTCAAATAATCATGTAAACAGCATTCTCTGATTTTTTAGATTGGAGTAAGGTCTAGAAATCCGATTAGGAAATCCAATAAAGTGAGCTGGATTTTAGCTCAGTAATCAGATTGCTCAGTGCATGTATACTCTTACTCTGATTTCTTTCACATTTCTTAGCCTGCGCATGTGTACAGACGGCAGTACCAGAAATAAGCAAGCAGTGTTGCCAGAAGATGCCAGCAAAACACAACCACAATAAAACCAACTACATGCTTGACAGAATGAAGGATTTAAATATTCATCTTCTAGATGATGTATGTTCATTGTTTTAAAGTGGTGAGATGTTTTACTGCTGCATAAAGTTTGAATTTTACATTACGTTTATGTCACATCTTCTTCTGCAAGTTTATTGGCTGGTTGCAAAGCAGATCCGATGACTGCCTGACTCATGTGGACCCAGTTTCCTCATTATCTGATTACTCAAGTGCATGTAAACACATTGATCGGACTACTGACAAAATCTGATTTTCTGCCGTTACTGGATTATTGAGTGCGTGTAAACGCACTCAGTGAGCAACTTACTGATTTAGATTTCTTTACAGTGATGGGGGTCATGATCTCCTCAAAGCAAATTCACCCACTTTATTAACTATCCAAAATGACCACATCATGATTTATTTTTACATGCAGCAATGTTAAAGCTACACAATGTAAGTTTAGAGACATCTCTGTTGCAAATGTGTAATTGTAAATGTCTTAATTGTAAACATCTTAATAATGAAATTATGGGGAAATGTTAAAATTCAGCAGGATTCCCCTTTACCTAGCACTGAACTGAGAACTAATTTTATCCTTATTAATTTTATCTTCTTCAAGTGTGAGTCAATCTAGCAATGTGTTTAATTGATCTTCGTTGCTCACTTTTTGTACTGCAGTCTCAGGAGCCGTACTTAGAGATAAAGTGACATCAAGAGGCACCGACTTAACCTCTGACTGTTTCACATCTGTAGAAACCACTTTTGCAGACTCTGGCACATCCCCCAAAATACAGTGCACCCTCCTTCTGTGGTTCTTTAAGGATCTTGTGTCTCGATAACTCCGATGGCAACTTTGACACCTATATGGGTTGCCCTGGCTTTGACGAACGATTTCCCTGAACATCTCAAGACCACCTCGGATGCAGTGGACTCGCCTTCTATGGTTCCTCAAGGACCGCAAGGCAGTGTAGCTCCGTGAACAGATGTGACACTGAAATGGATTGGAATGGCTTTGCTGTAGAGTTCCTTTTGATGACTGAAGTCCACCAGCTTTGGGCTCTAAAACACCAACGCTGCCTGGGTTTAGACCTTGCGGTCGATGGACTTTCCTTAGATGATCCTTCAGGGACTGGAGTTTTGAGTAACTGCGTTGACACATCTGGCACTGAAAGGCATTTGATGGGTTGCTTTGTGAAACATGTGCAGACTGAATAGTAGGTGACTCAGCAGCTTCCTTTGTGCCATGGACCCTCCTTTTATGCTCCTCAAGATCTTCGTAGCTTGAGCACTTATGCTCACAGATCTGGCACGTCAAAACCTTTTGTTGGCTGTGCGAGACCAAGTGTCTTTTGAGTCCATCCATGCAACTGAACCAACGGACACACACTGGGCAGCGGACAGGTTTGAAAGAAGGTGTACAAGTGTTGCCCTGAATGTGAACCTTATGAGCTAATGGACTTTGGAAGGTCATACCACAGCGAGAACAAGAGTGCTTGTTTTGACCTGCAATATCTCCTCTGCAACTCAACCTCAGGTGTCTCAGCAAAGACTTGCGTGCTCTGAAGACCTTTGTACATCTGTGGCACATGTGTCTGTGATTTAAATGTGATTTCAACAGATCTTGAGACCGGTTTTTCTGATTTTGCGCTGACGATTGAAAACGTGGCACCTGCTGAAGCTGAGGTTGCTGTGGTTGCGACACTTTCTGCTCATTTTTCTGCCCTGATGTTTGTGCATGGAATTTTTGGTGTGCTTGAAAATCAGCCCAAGACTGCAAATTCTCACCACAATGGGAACAAATGTAGGACTCCATCGCATGCATTTGCAGATGCTCAAACAGAAACCTGGGGCAAGTGAAAGCAGCACCGCACTCACAAGTCACTTTTCTGGGAAGCACAGATGGTAATGACATAATCCCCCAGTTTCCACTTCCAGAATTATTGTTACTGCTCTCTTGTCTTACTTGGTTCTTAGAAACTGGGGGCAACACAAATGTGTTTTCCTGGGAGGCTTGGTTTTTCTTCTCAGACAACTTATTCACCTCCAGAGTGCTTGCACCTCTCACTGACTGGCACCTCTTTCGGTGCATGTTCATACTGTCTTTGCGGGTAAATGACACTCCACAATTGGGACATGGAAACTTTTTCTTTAGCACAATGATATTAGCCTGTCCAAAAGAATGTTGCCCCATTAAATTTCTTGCTCCACAAATCTCAAGGTGCCGCTTCAGGGTGAAACGTCGGGAATAGCTTTTCTGACAGCTATTACACAAAAAACGTTTTACACCACTAGCAGAAATTTGCACCTGAAAATCTTTACTTGACAGTGTTGAACTGGTTGGACACTTTATGGTGGGTTCTAAGACAACAACCTCATCAGAGCTGTCCTTGGGTGCCTCCATCAAATCATCATGTTTTTCTTCATCAACATCCATCACATCTATTTCAGCATCATCCAAAGGCACAGTACACTGGCTCCCTCCTAATGATTCACCTGTTTCAGCGTTGCTTCCTCGACTCATTTTATCTTGGGCAGTTGTAGGAACAGCATTTCGAGAGAAGCGTTTTGCCAATAACCCTGTCTGATATTTTCCCTCCAACGAAGAATCAGTATTGAGCTCCTCAGTCTTTACCAGTTTAAGGCCCTCTGTGTTCACACCAACATTTACCTGACATGATGAATCTTGTTGTACTGACATTAGTTGTTTTTCTGCATTAGAACCTTGCTCAAAATTGCTGACCATGTCATTTTTTTGGGCTCCAAAAGCAGAGCTCTTAAGAAAGGCTATCCACTGACAATTGTGTTTGTTAAGACTGTGCCTTCGTGTATAGCTCCGATTGCACATTGTACAGTGGAATAACTTCTGAGAGTGCTGCGTTGTAGGACTGTTTGACGTTAGCAATGTAAAATGTCTGGAAAATCCAACATTAGAGCTAGCACAGATGTGGTTATGTGGAACGGAAATGACACTTAGCACATACTGTCGGCAACGGCGGCAAAATTTGACTCTTTCTTTCTTGTGCAAGGCATGATGCATTATCAAGCTGTCCATGTCTTGAAAAACTCTCCGGCAGAGACCGCACTGATGCTTCCCCTCAATGTTTTCTCTAACAAGCTGTTGACAGGCCTCAATTGCAACCACAGGATACAGAGTCTTTGTCGTAGATACAATCCTCCTCTTTTTTTTTTTCTTGACAGGCTTGACATTAAGCAAGTTGCCTGACTGTCTGAAACCCACTCTATTGGGGCCATATTTAGCGACCTTTTGCCTGACATTATTAATGAAATATCCAGAGCTTGATGCTGACATTACTGCTGGAGCCTGCACTGGTGCCCTTGGTGAAACTCTCCGTGTGGGTAGGGTCCTCTTGCTTTGCTCCGATTGCTTCTGGGTTGACTGTCTACTATTCATGTACAATGTAAGCATTTTTAGCAGTGGTTTCTTATTCCTTGATTTTTGACATTCATTTACTGTTTCCTTGCTGTCAGAAACACATGTATTCTCAGATTCTAATTTCTCAAGTTCAATCCCAAAGGACTGGCCTTGTGCTTCTGTGAGTGCCAGAGGGGAGGTTAAGTCAGATGGCTCTGACCCTTCATCATGATGTACCTGTGATACGGCATTATGAACAGAAGGAGAATCTGAAGTAGACAAGCACTCCTCTGAAGCAGTCTGTGTGTTCTGATGAAGTGACTCATCAGTGCAATGAGAAGGTGAGTTCTCATTAGAGGGAACTTCATCTGGAACAGGTTGGCTACAGTCCTTCTGAGCAAGTTCAGAAGTTTCGACAAGTTCCAAAGTTTCATTACCTTCAGAGGTTTTATTACTTGTCTCGTCCGATTGTGGCTTCATCTGTATTTCATGTAACTTTTTATGCTCCTGGATGGCACCAAGTTCATGAAACTCTTCCCCATGATCACACACATATACATCTTGAGTGACAGGAGGGGGTAATACCATACAGTGATGCTTCTGAAGAAGTTCTGGACTTGCAAATAAGCTGCCACAGTGACTGCAAGTAGGCAACGTAGTCACTCTATGGTCAGAGATCTCACTGGCATGAGAAGTCTGATGTACCAAGAGAGATGATAAACCTTTAAACGTGGCAGAGCATGCCACACAACTGTATGTTTTACTGGAAGGAGTTCCAACAGATTTTGTTTCTCGAAGTCCAAGCATTTTAGGATGCCAGTGCAAGGCAATGCTGATGCCTGCCAGTGTTGTTCACTCGGTTGCCACCATTTTTGTAGATGACCTACAAAAGAAAACAAAGTGAAATCAACAAGGCAAATCAGCAAAACAGCCATCATGTCCAAAATTTTGAGTCATTAAGAACATTTACTGTGAAAATCAAGAAACATTAAATATAATGGAAACGATTCCTTGAGAAACTCACTGAAAATCATTAATGCAAATTCTTTGCATCGAAGCTTCGTTTAATCCATATAACAATATACAACCCACTGTGTTCCTCGTGGATGATTATTACTGTCGCACAACACACTTATGCTGTGGGCAAGTGGTATGAAGACATGATCTGATGGAACGGACTGCAAAATGAAGAAAGAGATAGTGAGGAGGGAACAAGAGGCAGTCCAGAGAAAATGACAGAAAATGTCCAAAGTTGGGATCATTTTAAACAGGAAAAAACAAAATTTTTGTACAGTGTGTCTGTTGTAAAACTGAACTAGCCTACCGCAACAGCACAACATCAATGTTTCAACATCTCAGCAGAAAGCATCCAGTCCATGCATCCAATCCACAGAGCAGAACTGACATAAGGCAACATTAGCAATTCATGTAAATCAAAATGACTACCAGTTGAGACAAAGCCTAGTAAGGAATGCATGATAATTATGGCTATATCTAATGGCTAGTTAAGAACGTAAATCAAGGGTGGCTAGTTACGTAAGTTAGCTTAGCTTTGCTCAAAATCATAATCACAAAAAAAGAAAATATGGCAAGTGGTGTAAGCCTAAGCTTCATTCATGATATTATTATGATAGCCTTGAACACACACACACACACACAATCATGCACCAATCACATACATACCCAACTACCCTCAGTGATGCATAAAATAAAATGCACAAATCCAACACAGCAGATATATTCATTTTAGTTTGGAGCCGAGTTCACAGACAGCATTTTGAACATGACTGTCACAGACATGTGCCTGCTGCCTATGGTGGAGGATGAAGGCTTTCAGAGGAGGCCCCCCTAGGCAGGGAGAGCAGTTTCAGCACTTTGGGACTGTTTTGAATGCACTGACTGGAATGTGTTCAGAGAGGATGCCACTGTCAACCAAGACATCATTCTGGGGAGTATGCTGAGTCTATGATGGGATTCATATCTAACTGTGTGGAAGATGTAACCCTCATCAAGAATATCGTCACACGTGCCAACCACAAACCCTGGCTCACCAGAGAGGTACATGCGCTTCTGAGAGCACCTTAATGCTGCCTTCAAGTCTGGAAACAAACTCGCTCTTAGATCTGCTAGAGCCAACTTGAACCAGAGCGTGAGAGCAGCAAAACGTGCTGAGGGTCAGAAAATCCAGAGTCACTTCACTGACTCAAAAGACCCCAGGCGCTTATAGCAAGGAATCCAGTCCATCATAGACTACAGGTCCCCCCCATCACCCTGTTTGAGGAAAAGAACATTACCACAGTAATGAAAGCCCCTCTCAGCCTGGATGATGAAGTACTCTGTCTAAAACCAGGTGAAGTCCGGAGGACCCTACACATGGACAACTCAACTCAGCTGCAGGTCTTGACAACATCCCAGGGTATGTACCAACAGGTACACATCCTCACAGACATCTATAACACCTCCCTGAGCCAAGCCACCGTTCCCTCATGCTTCAAGGCCACTACTGTCGTACCACTGCCAAAGAAGTCACCAGCATCAACACTCAATGACTACCACTCTATAGCACTCACTCCCATCATGAAGTGCTTTGAAAGGCTGGTCAAAGACCACATGACATCCAGACTCCTGACAGCACTCAACCTACTCCAGTTTGAATACCACCCGCCACTGATGAGGCCATATCAGCAGCATTTCACCAGAGTCTGGCCCTTCTGGAAAATTAGATGTTCGGATGCTCCTCATTGACTTCAGCTCTGCCTTCAGTCATCCCCAAGCACTTGGTAAGAAAGCTTGGCCCATTAGGCATTGACACCCCACTGTGCAACTGGTTACTGAACTTCCTCACAAACAGACCCCAGACGGTACAAGTTGGAATAAACACCTAAAACCATCATCATGAACAGTGGAGTTCCCCATGGCTGTGTGCTGAGGTCTCTGTTGTTCACTCTGATGACTCATGACTGTTGTGCCAACTCAAACCACATTATCAATTTTGCAGACGATATAACAGTTGTGGGCCTTATCAGCAACGACAATGACTCTGCCTACAGAGAGGAAATGAACCAACTTGTCATCTGATGTGACAATAACAACCTGTCACTGAATGTCAACAAGACAATGGAAACTACTGTCGACTTCAGGACGAAGCATATGGTACACACTCCACTTACAATCCATGATAACGCTGTGGAGTCAGTAAGAAGCACCAAGTTTTTGGGAGTGTACACCATGGACGACCTGACATGGACTACACACACCACCTCCCTTGTCAGAAAAGCACAGCAGCATCTTCACTTCCTGCGACGGGTGAGAAGAGCAAAGCTTCCCCCTCCTATCCTCACAACTTTCTACAGAGGCAATATAGAAAACATCCTGACCAGCAGTCTCCCAGTATGGAATGGCAGCTGCACTGCGGCAGACCAGAAGTCCCTCCAGAGAGTGGTGAGGACAGCAGAGAAAGTCGTCAGAACCCCACTTCTGTGTTCAGCCTTCTGCTCTCTGGCAAACGCTACCGCAGTATGAGGTGCAAGACTGCCAAACTCAGCAAAAGCTTCTTACCACAGGCCATTAGACTACTCAGTTCCATTTACCAACACATGCAACATGCTGGCCTATCAGGACTGTTGGACTCCTGAACATACATAGAGACTGTCTGAACAAATTTATTATTATTAAAAGTCATATCTTCCATTTTAAGATTGCAGCTAGTTTGTGTGCAATAATGTCAATATTCTCATCACTTGAGCAATTTATCACTACTCACCAGTGTCAAGTTTACATTTCCTGATTTTGGCTGAAAACATGGATAGGTTTTAGCACGATGTGCAGGTCACACCCTGAACTTGGTCGTGAACCGAGATGATCAGATTATGATCTGATCACTCAAAACACATTTGGAGGGGGTCAGAGACAGACCTTGACTATTTATCAATTGCAAGCATTATCTATATACAATTACATGAGCAGAAATGCATTTGCTGAGTGCTGACAAACGTGAGGGGATAAACAAGAAATGAAAGATGGAAAGAGGCTACATGAGGCTGGATATATCCCTTAACCAAGCGCCTTCATGCACTCAAGGCTAATGAAAGTGACTTGGTCATGCTTGTCGACTTGTATCATAATGGGGAAAAGAGTAAGCAATAGTAAAATGGATTTGCTTTCTAAACAGGAAAACTGCAATTAGATCTCATCTGGTCACAGTGGAAACACATTTTAGTGGCAAGTGTAAACATAATCCGGCCAAAGTTTATCCAGATACAATATGGAGACAAAAGACATGTTAACGCAAAGCGTAAATAGGCTCTTAGAGTCAGAAGTGTCCACAGTGGTGGTGAAAAGAACCAGTCACCTCAAGAGTTTAACGCTTCTAAAAGCAGCTTCAGAGCAATGTTTGTTATGAGGTAGGTTATGACTACGCTGCCTGATGCCTGAGACATTGGTTTATGATTATTTTGAAAAAGTTTGGGCCTAAAACATTTTTTTAATTTATTTTTTTAAATTTTATTTTATTTATTGCAAAAAAGAACTTGCATGGTGTTGGACGGCAAAATAGTCCCTATTAGGGATGCATCAATACTGATACTGGTATTGCGTATTGAGCTGATACCCTTCTCATTTACTTGTACTTACACTCATAAAAATTCACCGATACCAACATCCCGATACTACCTGATACTAGGGGTGTGGGAAAAACTCGATTCTTAGATGCATCGCGATGCGGACATGAACGATTCTGAATCGATTCATAAACGTCAAAAATCGATTTTCTAAATATTTAATTTATAACGTAATGTTGACGGAACGCAAAAGGCGGAACTGGAAGTGGGTAAGTGCAGCGCCCAGACAGTCTCTGGCGGCACATAACAAAAACACAACTGGATGAGTGAGAAATCCGACCAGCTCCCTCTGCATTAAAAGCCAGGTTAGATCAGGAGTCACAACACAAATGATCAGAAGAGCCATTTTGCCTTTCAACCAAGTCAAACCACCTCGGGAGCCACAACATTTATGCCCAGTATGTCTTAGTATGTATTAATGTCCTGGTGTGGGCTAAAAATATAAATGAGAGTGCAGACTTACTTCGCTCTGCTTTAAGCTTCGCCTATAGCCGCTTTCCTCCCATCTCCGCCAGAAAACTTTTCTTCAAAACTAGAAGAGTTTCTTGTAAAATGTCTCAGCGTCTTCTCGTTCTAATTTTCCTGTTCCACCTTAAATTCTGCCTTAGGCGCCGAATGTAACTGCTGCACCATCTAAGGTGGAACGGGAAATATCGAAAGAGAAGCGAGTTCATTTTCGCAACTTTTTAGAGAAAGACAGTCTCTCATTGCAGATTTAACCAACCGCGCTGCTTATAAATGCGAATAAGTCCTCCAAATGTTCGTCTTAATCTCTGTTTTTTCGTTCGCTACTGGTGAGGCCAGACTTCGGTACTATGTGACCTGCTGTCTGTTCTCAGTCATTGAGAACCAGGGCTTTTGCGCTATGCTGCACACTTTGGAGCCGAGATTCAGTGTCCAGTACACTCTCTACAATGAGACCGAAGTTATAAAATCACTGAAGAAAACGGGAAGGATGGCTGTAACGTACTGCGTGGACACCCATTACCACTGGATCTTATTTCAGAGTAACAGCGCATTTTATCGCAGATGAGTGGCAGCAGCTTCTTTGAATGAGAGCCTTCTAGTTCACTTGCCACATCACTTCCATTTGATTTATTAATAAAAGATATTTTAGATATTTAAAGCAAAGTATTTGTAACGATCCATAATGCATGTACATTATGGATCATTACAAACACTTTGCTTTAAAACTACAAAGCCCTCGAACAGTAGGAAGATAGAAATCCTGTATAGAGAAAAAAGATGCATCGAGATGCATCGATAATCGTTTTATAATCGCATCGCAGCCCTCTGAAACGTAATCAAATCGAATCGTGAGGTGCCTAGAGATTCCCACCCCTACCTGATACCGTGTTATGTAAGCCAAGTGTACACTGCCATGCTAATGAACAAACGCAGGAAAGAAGGCTCTGCTCACCCAGAGAAGTGTGAGTGGCTCAGTGTCAGTCGAACACAAAGCCATCGGTCACTTTTAACCTTCCACCTTGGTATATTCCCGCCAGACCCACACTGTGTGCTTTTAGACTGTTTTTAAACACAATCACAACCACTTCCCCAATACAGCTGGAAACACGTTGGCCGGAAAAACTAAAAGGAAAGAAAAATAACTGACATTTCCTGCCCAAGTCTGTCCAACTTTACTCTGTTTGACTGAACAGAATAGCGAGGTATGAACTTGATTATTGATTTATAAACTGTAGACACACCGTACTGTCCTACCATGCATAGGCTTACTTGAAACTGTTCATGGACAGAGCTTGTTCGTACAGTGTGAGTAGCTACAGCTCAACCAGCCAAACAAAAGGCTTCAGACATAAAACACCATGAGTGAGCTCCTCGGATGCAATTCCTGCTGACAGATGAGGATCAAAACTATTAAACATACTTTACTTACAGCTGTACAGAAGCGTTTTTCTGATGTGCAGCAAGACTCTCCTCTCCACTGCAGCGCTACTTCATCCAAGGTAACTAATGTAGCATAGCTAGCTAATGCACATCATTTAAAATCAGCTAAATTTGAATGATTTCACTGCTAATGTACATTGCACTCACTTACACCAACAACTACTTCATTCTAAGTAGGTTACTCAGTATGGTATCAGACTCTGTATCAGCAAGGACCAAAAAAAGGAAAAGTACACCATGCTTTTCACTATGTATCAATGCATCCCTACTTTTATCAATCCCTATTATTATTATCATCATCATCATCATCATCATATAAAAACCACCACTATAAAGAAATATGAGCTTCCTTCACTACAATGAACTACTTCATTCACACCTACATTCATAACTACTCTGAATGAAAAACAGTTGTTTATTTTAATATTTTTTTCAAAAATCTGTTTTACATCAATTTGTAGTTCCAAATTTCTACACTTTGCAATTCTAGATAGGCAGATATTACATGAAAACATAACTGGATAGCCGCATTGGCCCAATGTACCCAGATCAGTCCATCCCTTGCAAAAAAAAGGGCTTTGTCATTATAACACTAACCAAGCTTTAAACTCCCTATAAACCTGCACCTTTAGTTAGGGGACTGCTTTTAGCTTTATACTGATTTACACACCGATTAAGGAAAAAACACTCTGATTACTTACAGATGAAGCAAAAAATGTTGATTATCCTATAACAATGGCACATGTCAAGGCCTGGGATATATCAGACCATCTCTCTGTATAAAAGTTTAAAGTTCGTCCTCGGAATCGATGTTAGGGACGCATTGATACCGATGCTGCTATCAGGTATTGGGCTGATACTGTGCTCATACAAATTCACCAATACCAACACCAGATACCAGCTGATGCCATGTGACCTAAGTCAAGTGAACACTGCCATGCTTACGAACAAACCCATAGATGTACATCCCTAGATGCCGCGTTGTCTGTTGTTCTCTATCTGAGGCGATACGTCTGTGCGTCGGAGCAGTCAAGATCAGCTTGTGAACAAATTCACATGTATTGAGAGACGATGAGTCTCAGGATTACATTGGCTTCAACTTCCTTATTACTCAACCGATTTTCACCACATTTGTTTTGTTATAATCTTCAGACACAGATTAATCTAGGCTGTATGGACTGCTCTCGGTAGCTTTTATTTCTTTAATAACTGTGATCGTGCTGAAGTACTCGGTCTGCACCTGATGTTAAAAACCGAGTTTAGCGTGAGTTTCGGTAGAAACATAATCTCACACACATGAACAAATCAATTAATGTGTGAATCACTTCTAATCTTAATACACAGAAAAATAAAACAACCCCCCCAAAACACAGTAAGAAGGTCAAAGCTAAAGTTGGCTTCCTATTCGCCAGCTTCTTGTTCAGATTTTCCCGTTCCACCTTAAATGGTGCAGCTTCAGGCACCAGAAAGTGACTGCTGCACCATTTAAGGTGGAACGGGAAAATCTGAACAAGAAGCTGGCTAATAAGAAGCTAACTTCAGGTTCGTGTAAGAGGGTGCTAACGTTAATCTATTATGAAAATCGACAAAGATTAAGAAATGCTAACTTACCAAGCTACATAGCTTTAACCATCATTGAAAAACAATCACATCAACAGGTTCTCTGTGCATCACCAGCCACACGACCATATCTATGCATAAACATCTACACATAAACATCACTGCATTTCCTCTGTTATATAATCCTATCCCACTTTCTGAGTGCATTATTCTTGAAACAGTAAAATTTAGACAGTATCTTTCTTAAACTGCCACTCTGTAATGGTACTGAATGTAGTCCAGCAGCGATGCTGACCGCCCCAAAATGCGTGCCTGGCTGAACCCAACGCGGCATCTAGGTTTGTATATCTGTGAACTCAAGCTAGCATTGGAGGGTGCTCTGCTCACAAGTGTGGAGATCACTGGTCACTAAATATTCTGTCTTGGCCTGTTTTTAAACACACACAAATGCATCCGCTTCCCCTATACAAGGGGAAACATGTAGGCTACCAAAACAGCAGAGAAAAAAGTCGACTTTTAGCAAAGTCCATCTATGCCAACTTTACTCTGTTTGAATGAGCAGAATTGCGAGGAATAGATGCAGTTTTTAAACTGTTTTCATAAAATAGGCTGTACACAGACTAGGGCTGGGTGATTAATCGAGAAGTAATCAAAACCGACGTTCAGAATCTCTCACCAATGTTATTTCGATTTTTTAAATTCTGCTAATCCTTTCCCCACTCTGTGTTTTCATGTACTGTCCCCTTAAGACTTACTACCGCGAGTGTAGTCATGTGACTCCGCCATGTCCACTCTGCCACATGGAAGCTAAGGCTATGTTCACACAGCAGGTGATCTTCTCAAAAAATCCAATTTTTTGTTTAGCTGTTCACAATATCTTTTAAATGTGATCTGTATGCGAAATCAGTCTGAACAGATCAGCTCCTAAACCAACCCGCATTCGCAAAGGAACAACGTGTCACGTTGCTTCACGTGGCTCATCCAGAGGTAAACAATCATGACTATGAACGAACGCCAGTCGCTCCCAGAGCTTTCAGCTTCATCTTCGCCAGCATCACAGGAGCCATCATGAAGCTTCACTGACTGACAGCTGGGCTCATCACCCAGAATGTGTTCAAGCTCGCCGCAAAAAGGGCGTGGTCACTTCTTTGGTTCGTGTCGTTGGATTCTTTAAACTCTGCTTTCAGACTTTTAACTGTTCTTTGACGCTGCAGCCTCGTTCTCCTGCGGCCACATTCAGCCATTTCTATCAAAATATCTTCAAACACTGAGGTGTTTTGGATACATCTCTTCTAATTTTTATTAGGTCTCAGCAGCGCGAAATTATGACGAATGTCGAGTTGGATTGACGTAAAAGTCACATGAATTCCGATCTGGCTGTTGAGACGATTTACATTAAGATATGCAGAGCATATTTACAATACAAACCTTGTCAGTGAACTATGAGGGCAAAAAAACAAGCAAAAAAACCCCCAAAACAAAATAATCGTTCATTAATCGTAATCGAGATAAAACATTAAATTAATCGTGATACTGATTTGAGGCCACATCGCCCAGCACTAACACAGACCGTACTGTCCTACTATGTACATCACCGCCTGGCTTTTTGGGTCAGTGCACAGTGTTAGCAGCCCTGCTCAGTTTCTCACCCGACCCACCCCTATACACACACCCCTCCCAACGACCCCAGAACCAGCCCACCCTGCTGAAATCTCACTCTTAACAATGTAAAAGTTGGTCATTATTACCTGTGTAAAAAGACTTTAACGTCGTTAAACAAAGCGCATGCGTAGAGGGCGATTCAAAACTATTAGCGCTTGACACCAAACTTGAGGGGAGAACCCAGCAGTCAAACTTCGCTCAGAAGTTTCAGCCAGCGAAAAACAAACGTGGTGCAGACCCCCGCTTTCCGGTACAGACCCCAAAACGCACTGTGTTCGTGTCACAGTGGAGGAAAATACTCAATAACCAAGTCATGCTATGTTTCTCCTCGACGAAAGCTTCGAACGACGGCCACAAATCTGAGCTCCGTCGCTCCTCTCTGCTCTGCCGAGGAACCCAGAGAGCCAGACGGTCAGCTCGGTCAGCTTCCCACGGCTAAGAAAGTGAACAAAGCTTACCTGGACCATCACTACAGCCTCCGAGCCGCAGTGTTGTCAGGCGAGGCTCCTTCAACAGCTGCTCATTTCAGCCTAGCGCCGTTAGCGAGGCGAGAAGCAGTAACTCAGTACAGGCATGCTAACCTATCTGCTATCTCGTGCTTCCTTGCTGTGGGTCGGCAAGCAGCAGCTTTAGCGGGGTTTTCGTCTCAGGCTGCACTTCAAAATAAAAGCACCCAACGGAAACGGTCTGGGTGAAAATAAGGTTAAAGTGACACTCCCAGAGCCGGTTTATGAGGCCACTCTTATACCAAAAACATGACTGCAAAACAGCAGAGGGCGCCCGCGAGTCAATGAATGGGCAAAAATGGAGCTAAATGGCAACAAACGCAAAGTTAAAATAGTTTCTAATCTGTGCTTTTTTTAGTGAAATAAAGAAAACTCGCCTGTATGTTTCCCTTTTTTCTACAGCAAACAGGTTTTTCGAGTGCTGATTGGCTGATTCATTGGCTGCTCGTGCTCACTGACGTCATGTACGTAAATAAGGTGCATTATAAACTCCTATAACTCGATTTCAAAAGCGTTTAAAAATATAACATCGGTGTTAAAATGTTTTATGCTGTTATGTGTTCAGGATACAAATGCATTCTTTTATCTTAAAAGTGTTTAAGGATTTATAAACTATGATTTTACCCAAATGCTCCACATTAACCCATTCCTTTTGGACTCGCTCGGGAGCGCCCTCTAGCGTTAGAGAAACCAGGAAGACATTACAGAGCTGGAATTCTCCTCTCTAGAAGTTCTCTGGGCACCGCAGCCAAAAATAAAAAAAATAAAAAATAATAATAACATTTGCTACATTTGTTGTAAACATTCCTACTTGGTGCCAGAATAGTCCTAAGTCTACTGAGACTAAAGACTGGGTGCGCTCCATTTACCTGTGCTGGTGTTCTAACAATTTGTCCTACCCATCCAGGCTTGGGCAAAATACTCTGAAAAGGGAGTGATGGCTGAATACTGAATACACTGTGTGTAAATGTTTTCAGTAAAGTGTTCCATTACAATAAATAAAAAGTGAATCTTGAGTATATATTGATAAAGTACATGGGAAAATGCTGCTGTAATATTTATTTATTTCCTCACTGTTAACTGGTATGCAGTTTCGTTTGCGCAATTCTTCTGATAATGTCTCATGAAAAATTCAATTATTAAAATGAATTCAGAAATGAATACAAAATTCTCAGTGTTATTTTGGCTCTCATCTCCTGCTTCAGTCCAGGCCTGCTGTTGTTCCTATAATCCCACTGCCCTTTCATGACCCAAGCCAACAATTCGCCATATCCCAATAACAAAGCCTTGCAAATTTGACTATAAAATGAGTAGCTATGTGATTTTCAGTTAATGATAGGTAAGTAACTTGCCGCAGAAGTCCAGTACAATGCCAAAGCTAAGCTCATCACTCGAGATACTGTCCACTACTCAGTTCGGTCATCCCTCAAAAGAGGTTACTAAGGTTCAGATTAATAACATGCTTTACATTACAGTGATTTATCAGTTTACTCAGGCTTTAGAAGGAACTTTAGTGTTTGTAAAGAAGCCATTTGTAGCCCTCCTCTACATCTTTACATGCTGTGTGCTGATTTTAGAATAGTTACTTAAAAAATAGTAGTAATGTTATTTCTTTTAAAGATGGTACATATTTTTTTAAATGTAGTGTGTAAGTATTCTGAATACTGTTTTTACAAAATGTAGCTTGGACTGAATACAGGTCATTTCTGTATTGTGGATATGTATTCCCAATACTTGTATTCTGCTACATTCCAACCCTGTACCCATCAAACGGTCCAACCAAGCATGCGCATATCATTAGTATAGCATAGTAACTTAGTGTTTCAAATGTTTTACGTCCTTATGAGGTGATTTAGGTCATCAAAATATCGTAATTATTTTTTTATGTTGGTAATATTTTCTGATAAGGAGATTTTAGGCTATCAAAAATCCTACCTATACATTTCAGTGCTGGTAGCATTTTCTGATAGGGTGATTTAGGCTATCAAAGTATCCTACCTACAGTTTTATGTAGAGAGCAGCCTATAAATATGTGCTACAGTAGGCCATTTGGACAAAGTAACCCGATTCGTTAGAACACTCAAGAGCTCGCTGCTTTTCGTGTAGCTGTGAGGGTGGAGAAACCTGTTTAAGGGAGGGTCAGTGGCGCTCATACCTGCTCTTACGTAAATTATTGCGTAGACGATAGGTTATTATAAAACTGTAACTAGAAGCTGTTGTAATTTTCCTTACGGAAGAGAAATTGTTACGTCCGAGATTCAGAATGTACATTTCAGTTGTATCATTATTTGCCAGGCTTTACCGTGAATTACCAGGATTTAATGTGTCACTGAATGTGCATGCACTCATAGATGCACCAGATTTTTGTTCTTAGAACATGTTATCCATTTTTAAAGTAATGTATCAGCCAAAAATCTAATTTATACAAATGTTGTTGAAAAACCAAAACATGTTTGGTGTCTGTAACATCTTTAGTGATCTATGAGGCTGATGTAGCTAACAAGTTCTAAGAAGCTTATAGCTTGCATGCCTAAATCACAACACACCTGGCTCAAAGCAGTTTAAAGGGGAACTCCACCGATTTTGCAAAATTACTTAATCATTCAACCATCCATTTATCCAAAATGCTATCGAAAATGACCAGTGAACTTCCATGTGTCTTATAAGGTTTTATATGTCATGCTGATAATGTTTAAACATGTTTTTTTGGGTAGATCTTCTTCTTACAACGGCCTTTATGTACATCTCCGCCTTGCACACCTTCCGTGTTGGCGGCGTTGCGTCACGCGGTGTCAACAAAACTCAGAGCTTATGTGAGTAACGTTATTCATCAGAGGAGCTGTGACAGATCGCAGTTGCACCTCGCTGTCCTGCCCCATAAACAAGTGAGCAGAGTAGCAAGTAGTTTGGGTTCTTCTGCTTCAGCGCCGATGGGTTCAGCCTCTCTCTCTCTCTCTCTCTCTCTCTCTCTCTCTCTCTCTTCCTTTCTTGCTCTCTCTTCTTCAAGCTGCTGCAAGTCATTTGTGTATTCTGGTTCAAATCAATTTGGCTCAACGACATTTTGGAAACAGACCTTATCCTCCACACATCTTCCAAAAATAGGTAAGAAAACAAAAGCTGCTGCTGGTGTTATATCTGAATCAGTTTTTCTTCAAATTCATGTCCCCTTTGACAAATCAGGTCTTCAGCACGGCGCATTCACTGAACACAAAACAACACCAAGCAACACTGGAACTACGGAAAACGAAAAGGTTAAAAAAGAAAGACTGAACAGTGTTTTCACCGTTCCCCAATATAAATTCACCCAAGATAACACAGCATAGTTGAGATTCCATAATAAATATTATTAAATTCGAGTAAGCAGTAAACAGTTGTACTGATAAATACTTTTTGGACTGTTTGTCGCTGATTGGCTGAATTCAGCTGCTGTACAAACCCTTTTTGAACGTGAATTTGACGGGGAACTGAATCGGATACAACACCTGCGTTAGCCATGTTGAATTGCTATAGCTACAATCTAGTAACTACAAAAGCATGTTAGCTTGCGCGCATTGATCTCAGTTGAGATGCGGTTTTGATGGTAAACACAAAATGAATCCTGGAGTAATAGCGTATATTAAAAATTTTAGGCCAAAACGTTTTAAACAAAACTATCACAAAACAATGATTCAGGTATCAAGCAACGCATTTGCAACAGTTTTGTGTAGTAACTTAATGGGATGTAGCTTAAAAAGTCTAATGCCGTTAAAAGCATCAGACGTCTGGTTCCTAGTACTATAATGGTGAATAATTCTGACTCAGTAAATTTCTCCAGAAAGGCACATTTCACACCACTCTGAATTTTGAACCACTCTGAATGATTTGTTGAATGATTAAGTAATTTTGCAAAGTCTGTGGAGTTCCCCTTAAAGTAATCCCATGACAAATAACCTACAGTAGATTTGCTTAGTAGTTTATCCCACGTGACAAGCATACATTGGTCCACTGGCTTGATGAGGTCAACACCCTGCTGACTGTATGTCCACCTTTGGACCACCCACATTATTGTCCTGTATGCAAGGCCTAATTCTTTTTTAATTTCCTCAAACAGTTTTTAAATGCACATAGGCTTTTATTTTGAAAAAATAACTAAGACAAACATTTAAAGAATTAAAAAAAAAATTACTATGTCTGATATTAAATTATGTTTTGTTGTTGCTGACACTGTACTAGTTTCATTACGGCTGTCTTGTTTGTATGATGAACTGAATGCTCTGAGGCAGCAGCTCTGCGCTCTTATAAAGCTGATGAACCACTAACAGAAGCCATGCATCATTCTAATTAGCTGCTCCAGGCGAAGATAGAAATTCAATGGTCAACAGATACAGAAACTACCAAACCCTAAAGGGCCATAGATTTGCATGTTTTTTACTCCATTTTTATGTGGTAACAATTATTTTCATTACGTGATACCTCGAGTTTTTAAATTACAACACAACGAATGTTTTCTCAAGATAACTACTTTGAATGAAGCAAAATAGCTGGTTCCAAAAGCAAATAGAGTTGAGCCAAGTTGAGCTGTTCCATGCAGTGGAAAAGTGCCAATAGTCTGTTCTCCCTTGTTTTTCTTTCCTAATGTCTCTGCCATGTGCCTTGGAAAGCATCACCGAGCCAGCGCCAGGTCCCATAGTGCCGCCTAGTGTTCCGGAGAGCAGTCCTTCTTTTCTTTTTCCTTGCAGCTGAAGGCCCAGCTATTTCAGTGCTGGCTCCACGCAGGGCTCCAGTGCCGGTCCTCCTGGCCACTCCAGTTAATGTTCTTCAAGCAACACTGGTGCTGGCCCTTCGTGCTGGCTTCCAAAACTGCTTTTAAGACTGCTCCTCCAGGGCTGCCCTCCCAAGCTTCTCCTCCAGTCCCAGCTCCCCACTGTATTCCAGTGTTGACTTACTGTACTCTTCCAGTGCTCAGTCCACCTCTGCTGCTGAGCCAGCTCCCAGGGTTGCCGCCCAATCATCTACTCTGTCCCGTTCTTGTACCCTGTCATGTTCATGTGCCGTCTTTTGTTTATGTTCCCATCACTGTCCGTGTTCTGCGCCAGTCCATCCCCATGTCTTGTCTACTGTGTGGACTGTTCTCCAACCTCCCCTGTCTGTGTGTCTGACCAGTCTCTTGGTCATTTGT